TTTTTTGCCCCACTGTATATATATTGTTATATCAAACAGCCCTACTACCAAGGACCATTAGAAACTCATACAGGCTATGAGAACATAGCAGACCTCATCCACACCATCACCACGTCACCATGAGCAACTAGAGCTTTCTTAAAGACCATTAGCACAAAGACCCTCATCAGGTCTCATTAGAAATGCAGCAAAAGCTGTCAGAGCTTTATCAGCACCAATGATTCACCACAGACCCTTACAATGTCACCAAGAACCATTACAGCCTCCTCAATGACCGAAATAACATCGGTGATCATCAGAACTTGACTGCTGGGCATGTTTTTCATTTTTCCTCCTAGAATAAGAGGCTCTCAGTTGGTTTGTACCAGGAAGTGCATCAAGAATCCAAGTCAATGCAGGACAGCACACATGCGCATAACAGCCTTCAAAAGCACACTAAAGGATGAACCTGCTCCTCGCTGTCACAGGTCAGTGTGACAGGAAGCCTCTGAGGGTGGGGGCTATGGAGGGTGTTTTTAGGAACATGACAGTGGCTGCGAGGTGTTGAAATGAGTCATGAAGCAGCAGGTCTGAGACACCGGCATGTTGAAACCTGACACACTTGTTCACAGTGTCGCCACTGGAACGACTGACAGCAGGACTGGAAAACATGAAGTTTGGAGGCAAGCACACAAAAACACGTCAGCATTGGAAACATCTGCATTGATTTTGATTCATATTTTGTTCAAACATGACTTTTTTATGTTGAAGTTTTTTTTATTTATTTTTTCTTAAAGGAAATTGAAGTGAATGCTTTTATAATTATCACTGTGGAAAACAGAGGTGGTGTAATGCTGACATAAAAAAACTTGCACACTTTCTTTTAACCCTTTAATAAAGCCGGCCGTTTTGCATAACTATTTTTAAATCCCGGTAGAACTGCAACCATGTAAGCTAGCGCAATAATTTTTTTTGCATATGAAACTTGCTGTCATTGTTGCTAATGACAGCGTGTAAAAACAGTCGCTTGTCTCTCCGTAGTGTGGTTATTTTAAATATAAGAGAAAGAGAGAACTTTAAGAGATTACTATAGCCACTACAGTGACCATCAAAACCATGAAAGAAATGTTGCCATAAACAGTTTATTTTGTGACACTATGAAACAAAACGATAGTGTAATATGAAA